TAACAGGTCAGAAAAGGCAGGTGTCACTGGCAGCATCAAGAGCCAGCAGTGAAAGTGGCCAGGGCTTTCATTTGAAATCCACCACCTGGAAGTTTAGCAGAAGTTCTGGCTCTGAAAGCATAACCTTCTATTTTATTATATAATTCTTTCATAAAATATGCAAAAAACCTAACCAAAATGCTGGGAAAGACAATCAGCTGAAGAAATAGTAAGTATCCAAGTGTACATGGACATACATATAACAAAGAAGCTCCAGGAGTGGGACCAACTACACAGTTCCATCACAGTAATCATCTGTTTTGCCAAAATCCTGAACTTTGATCTGGAAAACCACTCATACCTTGCTCAGGCTTGCACTCAGGCTGGCACTTAGAAGAATCTGCACTTAAATGGTTTGACTGAAGTGATATCTTGTGTCTTTGACTATAAGACTGTCTAGAAACTGAGCCCAGATTCTATCTTTATACATCAACCACAACAAGAAAGCTATTGGAAGCCTCTCAGACTTCTCCTCTTTCAGTTCATTTTGAGTACAGGGGCTACAGGATTCTGGCAGAGGAATAAAAAAGGGAGCTGAAGAGTGAGCTAGCACTAGAGAAATGCCTTATCTGTCAGTTCAACTTCTTGAGGATGTCTATTGCTGTGAACTCTGCAGGAGAATAATTGACTTAATTTTATAGAATATTAGGACTTTTATTTACTTCATTAAAGTAAAGATCTTGCTCTTCTTCCTTTAGTACAGATAAATAACTACAGGTAGTTGTCAGAATGAAATCACAGAAAGACGCTAGTTCTTATTCTCAGCCAGTATAAAAGGCTATTTCATTATAAACATAGTATTGATTATTAGAGAGGTTTTTAAGCCTTAAGCCCAAAGAGCTTTCCCACTTACATTTCAACTGAAAACATAATGAACTAAGAAGCCTGGAAGAGTGACTCTGAGTTTTCCCTTAAGTTTACGATATGGAAATGGAAGAATAAAATAACTACCCTGAGTCTTCAATCCTTGGTATTTAAAAAATATATGCCAGTATATTATAGTCATTTTCATTCACCTTCTGCCTTACCTGTCCCTGCTCCTTGCATTTGTTGCTGCACAGCAACCCAAGTTTGACTGAAGAAGAGGAGGGGGCAGAGAAAAATGCAACAGTCTACATAACAGTCTGCATAGAAACAATTTCCCTGTCTTGAAGTTAGGCCTTTGAATACTAAAGAAGACAAGAGTGATCAATGCAGAAGAAGAATACAGAAGGACAAACATTACTGAAGACAGGGGGAAATAGAGCTAAGAGAGTGATGTCTGTATGCAATGTATAGCAACTTTTGAAACAAATGTATAACAGCCGAAACATCATCCAATAAAAACTAAAATGCCATGATACATAATGAATCATTTTAGTCAGTTCGAAGCCAAAGAAAGAAGCAAAACCTTTAAAAGTGGTTGGTGGTTGCCATTATTTCTGGTTTGTGTAGAGACATTAGAACTCAATTGTCTTTTCAGAAGGCAGATGCATAGCCCCTAAAAGTCTTGACCTTACCAAAAAGTTTTTGTGTGATTTAATTCCTATAATATCAAGTCATATCAAGATTGCAAGGGGATGTGAAAGTTCTATTTTTCCTGTTAATTTGGGTAACAAAACCAATATGCAAGAATGCCTCATGAAATATCAATCTAGTTCCATTGCACCCAAAGTCAATATCAGAACTTATTTTCTTTTCTATGCACCCAACTATCAATTTTTAAAACAGATGTGTATCTTTTTGAGTCCCTGGCTAGATATTTGGCTTTAGTATCTTGTAATTAAAGAGTTTTTCCATTTCAGTGAGCAAATGTGTTTCTTATAAATGTATATAATTTTCTGTCTAATTAAACTAAAATCTAGGAACAAAGTCTGTTTGGTAAATTATGGATATAATTATAATAATAACAACTAGATGAGCATTCTGTGGTTTCTATTTTGTTACAGATAGAAAAAAGTTACTAATGTCATTATATTAATGTAATTATAGCCACTTCAAATGATGTGTCTTAGGTGTATCAAGGAAGATTTACTTTCTCCAAGTATTTAAAGACTTCTGAGATCTTCTATTTCTCAAAAAGTTGATTATGTATTTATTATGAATTATAAAAGTTTTCCTCTACTTTTGTAGACTATTCATTGCAGTAATATATTATTAAACTTCATCCCAGTTAGAAAAACAGAAAGAGAGAAAACATTGGACGTTGCTTTTCAGTGCTTTTCAGTGCTGAGTGTGAACACTTGACCCTGTAAACAGCTATAAAAGTGACAAATAGCTTGAAACTTTTACAGATATTGCACCATTTTTGTTCTATGTTGTAAAGTGGTATATTATATTTCTGACGAGTCCATTGCTAGCTGTCCCTATTCATTGCAGCTGGAATTTTCAAGAAGTCCTAAATTACACACACAATTTTGAAATTATCTTGCCAAATGTACTTTAGAGTAAATTTCCAAATATGATTGATAGAGCTGAATGCCCACTTGATTTAACTGATCAATTACATTTTAGGTGTACACTGATGCTGTGAGACCTTAGAGATTAGATTAATCTTAACACACACCCTGGACTAAACTCTGTCTTTCTCCAAAAGGCATTTTAAAACAGAAAAAATTCTTTTTTCTTTCTCCTGATTTCTCTATCTTGTAATGTCAGATCCAGTGATGGAAAAAACATAAGATAAATTCTTGTTGCCATTATGTAAATACATTCTGATAAATATGCCCCTGCTCCTTTGTTACTCTTGTATTTTATCCTATTTATCGTATGGCTAGAAAAGGCCTTCCAAGTCATGACATCCTTCCTATGCTCAAAACAGGGATCAGCTGTATCTAGACCAGTATTGACAAATGTTTATTTAACTCTTTCTTCAACCTCCAATGGCAGACTCAAAACAAGATGTTCCAGCACTTCCTTCTTGCCATCAGAAAGTTTTTGTTAATGTCTAATCTGAAACTTCCTTGTTGTGACTGAAGCTTGTTTGTGTTCACAACAGTCATGGGAATGGATTATATCCTTCCTGCTTCATTTATTTGAGGTTATCATGTCCCCCTCAATCTTCTCCATAGTTTGTTCAGTCTTTCCTCACAGACTGCAAAACTCGTAGGTATTTGTTTTGCTCTGGGTTAGCTCTAATTAGAGTTTCTTTCTTTCTTGAAGTGCAAAGCCTCAAACTGGAGAAATTTTTCTAATGCATTAGCAACCCTGAGTAAGACAGAAAAACTACTTTATGTGTTTTCAGAGTTCTTGTTATGCATCTGAAAATTATGTTTTCCACAACAACATGACATTACTGGATTGTATTCAGT